AGTGTCCAGTGATTTTTCTCATCTTCATTATTATTATCAACCAACATGAACTGGTGATGTTGAAGATGAAAAGTATTAGTCACACCTCATCCAAAGGAATTACTCTGCTGAAACCACACTCCCATGAGTTTTCCTTTGAGTTGTCTTTCCAGATCTTAATTACTCTCCAAGTCAGGGAAGAAAAAAGGAATGAAAAATGAAAATCAGTTTCCTTGACAGAGCTGTGTCCCTGAAACCCACCAAGGATGAGAAATGTTGATCTTCATGAAGCCTGGCCATCATCAGCTCCCCATACAGGTCCTGCTGGTGAGTGGGGGAGGAACTTGTCCTGTAATCTCCCTAACCCAACAAAGAAGTTCCCCCAACCCTATAGCTCCACCCAGGACAAGTAGAGGCAAGAGGACCCCAGGAAGGTTGACCAAACCACCCCACTCTATAGACTCTTCTGGTTATGAAATAGATGTGGGAAGGAAAAGACCTATTGCCTGTGCCACCCCCTCTTCAAGGAGAGACCCAACAAGCTTGAAATGCAACATTCCCCCAAATACCCTTGGGTGAGAAAATCCAGCGCCTATAGAAGCAACTTCAAAGCCTGGAACAGCTCCTTCTGGGGAAACTCCAGACTCCAGAACAGTTCACTGAACGTCAAGGAATCAATAATCCCCAGGGAAATGTCCAGGCATATGATCTAGTTTGTACCTAGAGCTCCTGGTAAGAGACTCAAAATGTTAGGATTAGACCTTGGCATTCTTGCCATCAGGGATTGCAACAACTCAACACTGAAAATGGCCCAAGAAGCTTTAAAAGGGGCCTGTTCCAGCAGAGTGTGGATTGCTCATGCGGATTGCTTTGCAACCCCTGGGAAGAATAAATAAGATCTGAATGTACTAGTTTAGGAAGACAATCCAGATACATTGTTCAATGAGACAGCTTCAGAACAGTAAGTGCAAGGATCTCATTTAAGTAAAAGCAAAAAAACCTGGTGCACGCTCTCACACACACACTGAGGCAAAGAAAAAGTCTGCAAGATCACAGACCTACCAGTTAACAGTGCTCTTGAAGGGAGTGCAATGGGGTATGCGGGAAGTTTTACTTACTTCTGCATTTGTATACAGTGAGCAAGGGTTCCTTTTTCTTTTAAATAGCATTCTTTTTTTTTTTTTCTCTTGCACCGCGTGGCCTGTGGGATCTTAGATCGAAACAGGGGCCCCCTGCAGTGGAAGCGTGGAGTCTTAACCACTGGACCAGCAGGTAAGTCCAAGGGTTACTTTTAGGATCTCAAAAAAATCTGATAAAGAAAAGCAGCTGCAGGAAGATTTCACTCTGCTCCAACTTACCTTATGAACTAAATCTAGAGAACAGGACTCGTGCTATCGACCAGAGCTGTGTGCACGTTTGGACCCTGTTTCCTCACCTCCACATAAGCACAAAGGAGGATGATCTTCATTAGATCCTGTGGCCACAAAGGCTTGGGATGCTGCTGCCTTTCCCTTGAGGATATTTCTGCTTGATGTTCAAGTCTTCCAAGCATGAACTCCTCCTTAAGCAGCCTAAGGAGCAACAGCCACTGCCTTTTTGGCTTGTGTTATGCAAAGGGCATCTTATTTTACCTTTTGTTTTTATTCCCTTGCAAATGACCATTTGTAACACCCTTTAAATCACACAGGTGTGCCTTTACCCACTGTCTCTGTGCAGATTTGCAGCCAAGCTCCTGACCAGACAAGCAGGTCCCCTGTTGAAAGCAGCCAGCCAGGGGCCATCTCTACAGCATCCTAAGTCAGCAGTGACCCCTTTATTCCCACCCAGAGTTGCAACAATAGTACTATGGAAGGTTCTGGTTATCGGCTTACTCTTGGGGGCCTAGATGTAGACCCCAACTCTGCCGTTGACTTGAGTCTTCGGGTAACTCACTAAACCTCTTTGTAACTCAGTCTCTTCAACTGTAAAATGGAGATAATCACAGTACCTACCCCACCGGGCTGTTTAAGGATTAAACGGCACAACAGGTAAATGCTTAGACTGGTGCCAGGTGCAAAGGAGGTACACAGAGAATATGAGCTGTTACTCCTGTTAAGTGCCCACGTGGTGTATGAACCCCTGTGCTCACCCTCTGACCCCTTCCCACTTTATAGAAGTTGAAGCTCAGAGAAGGGCAGCAACTACACAAACAAAATGAACTCTCATAACCAATTTCCTTCTCTGTGACTTTCAGCACTTTACCCAAACTCAAAGATCAAAAGAAAAAATATTCCCAAGTCCTGATTGAGCAAGAAATCAGCTACTGGGAGTCAAAGTTATCCTGGAAAGTCCCTCCTTTCTTTGACCAAAGAAAGAGCCTTGGAAGGCACAGACACCATTTGGGAATTGCGCTGTTGTAGCGAAGGTCTCCACCCTTTCCCAGTTGCCAGCAGTGGAAGTGCCAGGACGCCGAGCGGCCGCGGCCGTGGCCTTGGCCTCTCGGCGAACTGGTGACCCTTAGCTGAAAAGGACTCCTTTTTGTTTTTCCTTTTGGACGTTCTTGGACGAGGGCATGAGTCAAGGGATAAAAGACTACGAAAAGACAAAACTGTTCCTGCAAAGAGGGTCTTAAATGGACATGTCCTCTGGGTGGGTGATGTCGTGAAGACTCTGCGCAGACACAGGACGACCAAGGCCCGAAAGCCGAGAACGACTGGGGATGGGGGAGGGGGCGGGGGATGGAACCCGGAAAACGGGCAGCGGCCAGACAAGACAAATAAGTGGCCAAAGTCACAGCTGCATAATGGAACCGAGGTGTCAGGGGCGGCGAAGGGGCCAAACTGCTCGCAGGCAGGGAAGGGAAGATGTGCGGAAACAGCAACTGCAGCAGACCCCTCGAGTCCCAGCTGGATAAACTGAGGCCCGAAGAGATCCAGTCCCTTCCCACCCGGCGGCCTCCGTCCCCAGAGAACAAAGCGCTGGGGCGGCCTCACCTTGTTGTAGAAGACCTCGGGCTGCTGGTTGGGGGCCGGCACGGCCGGGGTGGCGGCGGCCGACAGCAGCCGTCGGCCCTGGCAGGGCCGGGCGGCGGCGAGCACAACTGCGCGCAACATGCCGAGGCTCCCGCTGGAGTGCCGAGCGGAGCCCTGGCGGCTTGAACTGGAAGGACGGCCGGGCGGGCAGCCCCGTGCGCGACCTCCCCCCGTCCCCGGCGCGGCCGCCAATGGGCAGGCGCGTGGCGGGGCCCTGGGGCGTACCCGCGCCTTCCCCCGCCCCAGGCGGAGCTGCGCCTCGGCTGCTCGCCGCCAATACGCGCGCGCGCCCGCGAAGGGGCGGGTGGGGCTCGAAGGTAGAACCTCCTGCGCGTGGCGCGCCGTGGGTGTAGCGTCTCAGGATCTGGCGAGTTTACCGCACGTTGGCTGAACCCCTACTGTGTGCCTGAACCCTTAATGTGTACAGGCAAGAACCGAAGCGACCCTGGCCCTGACTTCAGGGGGCTTACACTCTAGTGGGAGAGGCCAACCTTAAACCAAACAGGAGGTAATTTCAGATTGTGATTAGGGATGTGAAGGAAATGAATAGGGTGAAGGTGTAGTTGGGGCAGAAGGCACTGCTTTTAAATCCCTTGGTCAGGAATTGAGACCTGAATTGTTAAGGTTCTGTGACTAAGGGAAGCATTGCAGGGGAAGGAACAGCAAGGGCAAGGCCTTGAGATGGGACATCTGACTTGTGTTGCAGAAAGGGAAAAACTGGAGGCCAGTGAACAAGGGGGAGAGGGTTGGGAGGTGAGGTGAGAGAGGTGGGCAGGGCCAGAGGTGGAAGGATTTTAGAGGCAGTGGAGGGATTTGGAAGGGAAGGATAGATCTCGGAGAGACAGCAGTGAGTGGTCCTGAGCAGAGATTTTTAGTTCCCTGCCCAGGAATTGAACCTGGGTAGCCTAGATGAAAACCAGAAATCCTAGCTGCTAGACCACCAGGGGCTAGAGGCTAGAAGCAAAGTGGCCCTGGCTCCTTCCCCCATTTGAAAGCAAGAATGGTTCAAAGAGGCAAAAACTGTAAAATCAGGTACAAAGTTTATTATTAGAGACACAGCACAACTGTATGGGAGAACACACAGAGAAGCAGTTTATTTATGTAAGTCAGAAGTTAGGCAGAAATACATACCCAGAGAGAAAGGGTATGGGCGTCCTCTCTAATGAGGAGGAGTGCAATAAAGAGGTGATTTAAATCTCTCATACAGGACAGTTCTTCCAGGTCTTTGTTTACATTTGGCCAATTATATATTTTTTAATTAATTTATTTTTGTTTGGGTTGGGTCTTCGTTGCTGCGCATGGGCTTTCTCTAGTTGCGGCGAGCGTGGGCTACTCTTCGTTGTGGTGCGCGGGCTTCTCATTGCGGTGGCTTCTTTTGTTGTGGAGCATGGGCTCTAGGCGCACGGGCTTCAGTAGTTGTGGCATGCAGGCTCAGTAGTTGTGGCTCACGGGCTTAGTTGCTCCGAGGCATGTGGGATCTTCCCAGACTAGGGCTCGAACCTGTGTCCCCTGCATTGTAAGGCAGATTCTTAACCACTGTGCCACCAGGGAAGTCCCTTGGCCAATTATCTTGTTTCTTTTTTCACACCTGACCAGTCCTAGGACATCCTCAACATGCGTGCACATCTTTTTGCTAAAATGGATCCCACCTCAGAGGCCTGTGGGGGTATGTCCACACTTATTATGGGGTGGCACCCCCTCCCTTTTTGAACCCTAAGGAGCCTTCCTGCAGATGTGCAGACAGGGAAGTTTTCCCTGACCTCAGGAGTGGTCATCTTATCTCTTTACTTCAGCAGAGCTCAGCTTCTGCCACTAGCTTTGTCCTTAGAGTGGACAAACACCACTTGACAGACACCAGCTGTCTGGCCCAGGGGCCCATCTATCTCCTACCTCAGGATGACTTGCTTGATTTGCATCTTAAACTAACTGGTTTCTCCTTCTTTGGAAAATGGACTACAGGAGGGCAAGGCTGGAAGTAAGGATCTTGCAAACTTTTATTCCATAGACATCCCAGAGCTGGGCACTGGGGACACAGGGAGGAATGAGAGGACATAGGATAGGAAGGCAGATGGACACCAGGTCAAATGTGTGCATTTCAACTAGGTAAATATCAGCAAAAGTCCAGGAAGGAGTGAAGAAACCTGGCAGGAGGAGCTGAGCTGGTCAGAGATAAGTGTTTTGACAGCAGAGAAGCAGAGGAAAGGGGCACATCTAGGTGGCATGTGTCTGGGGAGCTGTTTAAGACTCCAGCCATTGGAGCTGAGGCCAAAGAGGTTGAACAAGGCCCAAGTATGAAGTACCAGGCAAAGATGTTGATCCAGCATCTGAAGGAGACCAGCAGAGAGAGAGAGTTTTGCTTTGTTTTGAAGAGCTAATATGATGTCAAAAGGATATCGTAATAGTTAATAAAGCTGCTAAAATAGATTTGCCACAAAATTCTGATGGCTAAACACAATAAAGTCCCTGCCCACATGAGTCTCACACAGTAGTTCCCCTCCAGGTGACTCTGAGGTCAAAACCTGATTCCCAAAGTCACCCTAGGTCTCAGCACCATTCCAGACAACCGAAAGAGAAAAAAGCATTAAGGATGGCACAAGGGAGGTGTTTCTGGGCTGAGCCTGTTTCATTGGCTAGAATTCAGTCATGTGGCCATTCCTCCATGTAAAGGAGTCTAGAAAACAGGCTATGTTCCCAGGAAGAAGGGGAAATAAGTTTGGAGATCAGCTGCAGAGATAAACTGCAAAGTGAGTCTCCCTCTCTTCTCTGAATGCAGCACCCAGACCCCTCTTCCTGTTCCCCTTCCCCAAGACATCTTGCTTTTTTCACTTAGTAATGTGTGTGGGAGATCTTCTGTACCTGCACCCAAGGAAAGTGCTCTTGAATGGCCATTTAGGTTGTTTCTGATCTTTTGTCATTATAAACAATGCTGCAATGTATATCCTTGTCTTGCTTGAGAAATTCATAGAAATGGAACTACTAAGCTGAAGGATATTTACAATTTAATATATAGTAATTAGTAATATAGTAAATAGTAATTAGTAATTAGTAATATAAATTAGTAATAGTAAATAGTAATATAGCTATTACTATATTATTCTCCATACAGGTTTGATCAATTTATGCCCCACCCCCTGTCATGTCTGAGTTTCCTCACACCCTCACAAATACAGCTTATCAGATTATTTTTTTTTAGCTTTGCTAATCCGGTAGATGAAAAATAGCATTAATTTGAATTTCTCTTCTTAGGAATGAGCTTGAGTGTCTTTGCCTGTGTAAAGTCACATATTCTTCATGTGCTACGAACTAACTGTTCATGTCCCTTGCTCATTTTTCTATTGGATTGGTTGTTGGTTTCTTTAAAATTGATTTGTAGGGACTTCACTTATATCAAAGCAATTAACCTTTATTCTGTCATATGTAGTGCAAATACTTTCTGTTAGTCCTCATTTATCTCTTTACTCAGTCTATAACTTGTTTTTATTTTTGTTTTAGAGATTTGTTTGTTTGTTTTTGGTGGGGTTTTTTGGCCAATGCTTTCTTTTGTGCCTTCTGGCTTTTATAGTATGTCTAGAAAGCCTTTTCCACTCTGAGATTATTTGTTTTTAATTTCTCGTATATTTTTTCAAGTACTTTTTTTTTCAACTTTGTTGAGATCTAATTGACATAAAACATTGTGTAAGTTTAAGGTATACAACATGTTGATATGATATATTAACTAGCACCCCCATCACATCACCTAAATATCATTTCATTTTTGTGGTGAGAACATTTAAGATCTACTCCCTTAGCAACTTTCGAGTATATAATATTGTTAACTATATTACCAATATAGTTAACTGTAATACCATGCTGTATATTAGCTCTCCACAATTTATTCATCTTATAACTGGAAGTTTGTACCCTTTGACCAATATCTACTCATTTCTCCAATCCCCAGCCCCTCACAACCACCATAACCATTCTACTCTGTTTCTATGGGTTTACCTTTTGCAGATTCCAATACAAATACAGTCATACAGTATTTGTCATTCTGTCTCTGACTTATCTCACTTAGCATAAAGCCCTCATGGTTCATCCATGTTGTTGAAACGGCAGGATTTTTTTCCCATGGTTGAATAATATTCCATCTTCTTTATCCATTCATCTGTTGATGGTTGTTTCTGTATCTCACCTATTGTGAATAGTGCTGCAATGAACATGAGAGTTCAGATATCTCTTTGGAATGGTTATTTTAGTTTCTTTGGACTCAAGTAGGATGGAGAGATCAAAAGGTAGTCCTCCATACTGTTTTCCATAGTAGCTGTACCAATTTACATTCCCACCAGTAGTATGTAAGGGTTCCCTTTTCTCCCCATCCTCACCAGCACTTGCTATGGTTGACTTTTTGTTGATAGCCATTCTAACAGGTGTGAGGTGATATCTCATTGTGGTTTTGACTTGCATTTCTCTGATGATTAGTGAGGCAAGTCTCTTTTCATGGAACTGTTGGCCATTTGTATGTCTTCTTTGGAAAGATGTTTATTGGTTCCTCTGCCCATTTTTTAGTCAGGTTATTTGTTTTTCTGCTATTGGGTTGTATGAGTTTTTTAATATTTTGTATATTAACCCCTTATCAGATATATGATTTGCAAATATTTTTCTCCTTCTGAAGGTTGCCTTTTCATTTTGTTGTTACTTTTGCTCTGCAAAAGCTTTTTAGTTTGATGTAGTCTCACTTATTAATTTTTGCTTTTGTTGCTTGTACTTTTGGTGTCATATCCAAAAAATTATTGCCAAGACTGATGTCAAGGAGATTTTTTTCATGTTTTTTTTTTCCAGGAGTTTTATGCTTAAGTCTTTATTCCAGTTAATTCGAGTTAATTCTTGTGAGTGATGTAAGATAGGGGTCCAGATTCATTCTTCTGCTTTCCCAACACCACTTATTGAGTATTTCTTTATTTTCTAGTACTTTTATTGTTCATATTTTATGCTCTAAAATTTGATTCTTTTATTAATTTTGGTACAAGGAAAGATTTAGAGATCCAGTTCTTTTTCTTTTTTTTTTTTTTGATGTTACTTGGAGTTCCTAACACCATTTATTCAATAATTAATCTTTTCCCCACCCATATGAAAAGCCATCTTTTTGTACTAAATGCCCTTGAGTAGTTGAGTATTTCTGAACTATATTCTGTTTCATGGATCTGCCTATTCACGTGCCAGTATGATGCTGTTGTGGCCACTATAGCTTTCTTGTAAGTCTTAATCTCTTGTACTAACATTTCTCTTGACCAAGATTTTTAAGCCTGGAAGTGATGAGTTTGCAAATATGCTTTTGAGGGATCCCTCTTGAGACAGCATGGAAAATCAATTGTAAAGAAGAGACAGCCTGGAAGCAGAGAGCTGACTTGGGAAATGATGAGGGCCTGGTTAGAAGCAACAGGGATGGTTAGGAAGGAGGGCATGGAGGTAGAATTGGCAGGTCACCTGGTAGAGATGAGGGTGAGGGAGGAGTGGAAGATGGTGCTGAGATTTCTACCTTCTGCTGTTCACTAAGAAGTGGAAGCCAGGAAAAACAGTAAACTTGGTTGTGGGGACAGCAAGGAGAAATGCATTAACATATAGACATTCATTGATGCTGAGATGGCGTGCGGCGACATGCTTGGATCCCCACTGGTGTGCATGGTTGTGTGTATCATTTTAGCACACGTTGGTTCACAGGTTCATTTATTCTGGTTTGTTCGTCTGTGGTGCTCACCATACCCCACCAGCAGCTTTCTCACCCCTGGTCCCCTAGTTTTGGGGACCCATCTTCCCCATGCCCATCCTACCCTCTCTGCTTAAGGAAATCTTACCTATCAAGATTCAACTCAAATCCCGTCTTCTGGGGAAGACTTCTGTAACCGCACTAGCCTCCTTTAGCTGCTTTCACACAATTTTCAGTTCAAGGTCAACCAAACACTGCAGCCTAAGATTAACTGCATGTACTGAAACCCTAATATATTTGTGGCTCCATTTGGCTCAGTCTGACCAAAGCATTAAATACAATTCAACTCTCAACCTAGATTTCTCCCTGACAATCTGTGTTGGCTCTATTCTTTCTTCCATCTTTCTTTCAATCTGTTTTCGTGCTCTTCTGTAAGTCTTTATTCTGATTTTTTTTTTAAGATTTTTTTTGACTGTGGACCATTTTTAAAGTCTTTATTGAATTTGTTACAATATTGCTTCAAGGTTTTTTGGCCTCGAGGCATGTGGGATCTTAGCTCCCTGAGGAGGAATCGAACCTGCACCCCCTGCATTGGAAGGTGAAGTCTTAACCACTGGACTGCCAGGGAAGTCCCTATTCTGATTGTTTTAATCTCTTTTTTCTCTGGGTCCAACTTTCTTATTCTCCATTGCCCCTTGTCTATGGAACTCACTGCCAGGAAAGGAACTGACAAAAGCAAATTATCCTTAAAGGGAAGAAGAATGAAGCAGGGGGAGGAACTAAGCAAGCAAAATGTAACTTCTTTTCAGGTACCGCAGAGGGGAGAGATGCAGAACACTTTGACGTGAATAAATGTTGTCCTCCCACAGTGCTGAGATCATTGGGAGAAGCACTGAGGTGGGTAAGAAATAGTCATTCACTTCCTCTAAGAAAATATACAAAGTCTTAACTTTGAAGTACTCCAAAACATTTCATTGTTATGGCCCAACAGTGTGTTTTCAGGTTGAAAAAGATCTACTTCCACCTGCTCTCCAAAAACGGTGGTAACTGAGGTGTCCATCTAAAATGGTGAGATTTTAGCTCTTTGCTTATATAGTCCCAGTGCTGGGACACTGACACTATCAAATGGAAGGTGTGTTTTGTTTTTTGCAAAAAATGGTGGGGGTTAATTCAAAGCAACATTCAAACAGGAAGACATTCTCTCTCAGAGGCAAGAGGAAAAAATGTGATCCAGCCTGTGTGCAGGCTGCCCTCCTTACTTGCCTGTGCACACACACACACACACACACACACACACACACACACGCATGCAGGCAACTCACCCTGCCCCACCTGCAGCCCAGCCCTTGGAGGAGACACACCCACCACACGGACTGCCCCCTAAGGCAGTGAGGAGGTACCCCCGAGATTCCCCGGCTCTGGAAGCATACTCACACACTTTCTTCATGGCAGGACATGCCCTCCTTGGTTGGGTGGGGCTTTTTCCTCTTCCTCCTTTTCCGGGTGAGGCAGCCAGCACCTCTCAGGAAGCCCCTCAGAGATGGTAAAAATCCATGCCTCCAAGTGGAAAGAGCTCTACAGTCTCGTAGTTTAGGTTTGAATTCACTGACTAGCTGTGTGATCTTAGGCAAGTCATGTAAACTCTTTGAACCTCAGTCTCCTCACCTCCTAAATGGGCAGAAAAATGTATCTGCCAGTTGTTTTAAGGGTTCAAAATAATACATGTGCAGTTCTTGGCACCTGGTAGGTACTAAATACCTAGGAGCTATTACTCCATCCAGGGGATGAAGTGAGGGGAGTCTAGCCATTCTCTTTGCCCAGCTTCTCCAGATGGGGTCCCCAAACAAGCAGCATTAACGGTGAGCGCATTAGGAAGGCAGACCTGCAGAGTCACGCTCGGCACTATAACCAGATCCCCGGGTTCATTCCTCTGCACATTAGCCTGTGAGAGGCTGCAGCCTCAGCTGGTCCAGCTGTGCCAGGCCCTGGTGGGGCCCCACAGGACTGTATCTCAGCTGAAGCACAGCCTCCTCTTTAGCCCCCTCTGGACTCCAGCCATGTGAAACACTGGCATGTACTGCAGGCTTCATATGTAATCTTTGTGGGTCAGCTCATTTAATCTTCAAACAATCCTGGGAGGGAATGCTGTTCTCCCCATTTTCCAAATGAGAAAAATAGCCCTACTAGATGAAAAATCACTTCCCTCTTGTCACCCAGCCTGTCTGTTACAGAGGCAGGATTGAAACCCAGGGAAGTTGGAATCCAGAAGCACAGCTGACAAAGAGCCTCTCCTTGACAGGACTCTTGCTAGGCTTCTCTAAGCTCTCTTCTTCTTTTTGTGGCACCGCGTAGCTTGTGGGATCTTAGTTCCCCGATCAGTGATTGAACCCAGGCCTCCGCAGTGGAAGCACCGAGTCCTAACTAATGGACAGCCAGGGAAGTCCCTAAACTGTCTTCCTGACTGAGCCTCAACCTCAGCCTATAAAAACTGCAGCACAAATGATTTAGTCCACCCCCACTACATCTGAAGACCTGAACAAACACTAACAGTTTCTAATAGCTCAAGGCCACACCGGAGCCTGGCAAATGTGCCTGCCTGAGAAAACTCAAAGCTGCCAGAAGTTACTGTTTATTCCATCCAACGCCTCAAGATAGGGCCCTATCTCCCAGTCTCTTTGAGAGGCTAGGAGCCAAACTTCCTTAAGTGCCAGTTAGCAAACCCAGGTAAGTTTCATGTGGACCAGAGCCCTCCACCTTCCCACTTTTTATAGATTTAGCAGGCAATTCCGTGTGTAAACCCCGCCATTGCCCCTCCCTGCTCTCTCATTCTCCCTTTTTATTTTTTTTTATTTTTTTGCGGTATGTGGGCCTCTCACTGCCGTGGCCTCTCCCATTGCGGAGCACAGGCTCTGGACGTGCAGGCTCAGCGGCCATGGCCCACGCCGCTCCGCGGCATGTGGAATCCTCCCGGACCGGTGCACGAACCCGCGTCCATCAGCAGGCAGACTCTCAACAACTGCGCCACCAGGGAAGCCCTCATTCTCCCTTTAAAATGCCTTCTGTACAAATGGAAGTTGAGGTCAGTTTATGCTGAGCCCACTTTCCTACTAGAAAATAGCATATATGAAATAACATATTACTGATTAATATCTGTTCTTAATACTTTAGTGTCTGTCTTTGTTTATCTGTGACAGCTCCTTACCACTAGGTTATCTATCTAATGCTAATAAGATATAGAAGTCCCTGAAATCATTTCTCTATTCAGCCATCTTGATTAAAAGAACTCTGTTCCCAGAGTACTTGTCCAATAGGTGATCACAGGTTTGGACCCCAGGTTGCTGGAGTCTGGGACTCCTCCATCTTTCTGCTCTGACGCTCACACACATTGGCGAGGTCAATAGAGGGGAGAGGGCTGTAGCCACAAGGCACCGTGGAGGGCAGTATAAATACCAATCCAGATGTCCCAGAGGGGCTCAACCAATGCTTCAGCCCTGGGCTCGCACTGGGTTTCCTTGTGACTGCAGAGAGGTGAGCTGCAACACAGCCCTGGCATCCCCAAGGCATCCCTGGGGAACTCTGAAGTCCCGGGTGGTGACAGACAGGAGCCATCTCTTAGACAACCACTGGGGACTCTAGGATGGGAATGTTGGTGGAGAACGCTGGAGCCTGTTCTTTCAACATCACTCCCAGTGACGTCCTGAAGGGGTCGCACCCAGGCGAGTTGCCTGAAATCTGGTCTCTTACAGCCTCTCTAGGATTATTCTGGAATTATCTGACAGCATCTGAAATCAGGGCTTGGAGGAGCACAGGCAGCTGTGGATGCCAAGACCACAAGTCGCTGCAGGGAGCATGAGGTGGGGGAGAATAGGAAGGGAAGGATGGAAGCCTCTCCAGAGCTGGCATCCTGGATGGAACCCTGAGGCCCGGGGACTGTCACGGGACCGCTGGGGAGGGCTCAGCCCTACAGGAATCTAGCCCCTGACGCCAAGAGACGAGCAGAGGAATGTGTGTTCAGTTGTTTGGGGATAGAAAATTGCTGTGAGAAAGAAAAAAAATATCATTAATATGTTATGATCACATTTTGTTCCCTTTCCCAAGGCAGGCTAATAGGAAGGCAGGCCCAGCCACGTAGGGCTGGTGGCAAGATGTTAAGTGTGCCACAGATAAAACTGGTCAGGCACGCTCATCACCACGCCAGGCCTGTCCACGCCCAGCGTGCACCCACACCACACGCTGACCCCACTCCAGAGGAGCACGGTGCTGGCGCATCACCACACTAGTTACAGCATTGGCCCACCAGAAATGCCAACTGTCTGCTGAAGGTGGGGAAAAAGCCAGATGAGGACCAGGTTAGATTTCCTTTATCCTTTAGATTCTTTGCTCATATCTTGTTAAGGCTCTGCCCCCATTGCCCTGGATTTCCTTCTCTTTTCTTTCTTTTTTATCTTATTTTATTTATTTATTTGTTTGTTTGTTTATTTATTCATTTATTTATTTGGCTGCCCCATGCAGCATGCGGGATCTTAGTTCCCCGACCAGGGATCAAACCCGTACCTCCTGCAGTGGAAGCATGGAGTCTTAACCACTGGATCGCCAGGGAAGTCCCTCTTTCTTTTTTAATTTTAATTTTAATTTTAATTTCGTGGGTGGTTCTTTTGGAGCCTTCTGCAGCATTAGGGAACCAGCTCTAATCCTCCTTTATTCCTTCTTCATCCTGGTGAACTTTGGAAAGCAGAAGGATCTTTTAAAAACTCAAATCAAAGCAAGTCACACCACTATCTAAACTCACATTTAGAATCAACACCAAACTCCTGACCAAGGCCCCTGAGGCCTCACGAGACCTGGCACCTCCCACTCTCTGTGCTCCTCACCCAGACACACTGGGCTGCCCCCCAGGGCCTCTGCATCTGCTGCTCCTTCTTCTGAAGCACGCTTGCCTGTTCATGTCATGCACGTCTGGCTCAAATGCCTCTTCTGGAACGAGTCCCCCCTCCTGAGCCCGCAGCTCCTCACCCCCAGCAGTGCCTATCACATCACCCACCACAGCACTCACCACAGCACCCTCATCACCCACCACGGCACCCACATCACCCACCACAGCACCCTCATCACCCACCACGGCACCCACATCACCCAGCACAGCACCCACATCACCCACCACAGCACCCACATCACTCACCACATACCCACATCACCCATCACAGCACCCTCATCACCCACCACATACCCAC